TTATAACACCATTGCTTATTTGTCATTATATCGGGGTGACATCGATGTAATGCATCGCTTCCGGGGGACGCCCTAACAAACCACAATTTCTTACTTATCATTGCATCGAGGTGATATCGATGCAACGCGTCGCGGTGGGGACGGCCCAACAAGTATATTATAGGATTCATTTTATATGGATCCGACTATGTTTTACGCTGGCTGACGGCTACCTAACGCAGCCCTCGTCCTTTATCCTGGCTTGGGATAGACAGTGCTGACAATAAACACAGCACTGACGGAGTTAAATGAATTAGTATCTCAAATCCTTATATTTTGAATAGTATCTCAAATCCTTATATTTTGAACTAGCATATTCGCAAGTATAATGCACGTGCAAAAATATGAAATTGTTATTCAATTAATTTTTAATCGTGCATATTAGTAATTTGATGGTGATTTGAGTTATGCAATTTTATTATAGAGCTACAAAACTATTATTTTAGTAATTTAAAATAAAAAATATTATTAACGAAATTTTATTGAGAAGTTTATTAAGAATAATGTAATTAGAGTAAGTCATTTAAAACTAAAATACTAGAAAAATGAAAAATATTACTATTTAGTTATATAAGCTCAAATCTTGTTCTTATACCATGTTTAGGATGTTCTAGAGATATAAATAAAAAAAGAGTTGGGGGGGGGGGATCATAGTACGTATAAGAAAAATCAAATTGTAATTCCAATTATGCGAGTTAAATCATAGTTTTATTTCGTAATTTAAAATATTATAGAAATAAGCAATGATAAAAAAAGAGTGTTCCTCACTTTGACGGACAAAATTATTTCCTCAAATTTCTATTATGATAGTAAATGCTCTTCAAACGTGGTATCCCCACAAGGAATTTACTAAAAGGGCATGTTTGGTTCCTTAAAAGGGCCGAAGAAATACGTTTCTACACCTGACACCACCTCCATGTCGTCTTTTTTGTTTCCGCCCTTTTCATTTCCTCGCTTTGGTTCGCTCGGGGAGAAGGGAGAAAACTCTACTAAAAACGCCACCACCTAGGAATTTTTTCCCTCCTCGATTTTCCTTCCCAACCTAGAGAAATCGAGGAAAACCCTAGCCGCTCTGAGAACTGCCCTCTTGATTCTCCCCAATTTCCTTCCCCAACCGATTAGCTACACTAGGGTAACCTCCTCACCCCTCGCCTCCCGTCAAAAATCTCCCATGATTTCTTCGTCGCTGTCTTCATCGTCTTCGTCTTTTCCTGGATTTCTGTCATGGGTTTCTTCGTCGTTGAAGTTGAGGTATAAATAATAAACCCTAGCTTTGAAATATCATTCAAAGTTACTGTTTTGTTCTGAAATTGCTTCATCGTCGAGCTCTCATGGTTGTTTGTTATTAATAGGCTGATTCGAGCTTGTTTAGCTCTATATTGTTGGGTTTTTGGCTTCTATTTGTGCTCGTCATCGAGCTCTTGTGGCTGTTTTTTGTTAATAGGTTGATTCAAGCTTGTTTAGCTCTATGTTATTAGGTTTTTTGCTGCTATTTGTGGTCGTCGTCAAGCTATCGTGGCTGTTTTTTGTTAATAGGCTGATTCAAGCTCATTTAGCGCTATGTTGTTGGGTTTTTTAGTTGCTATAGTGCTTGTCATCGAGCTACCATGGTTGTTTTTTTAATAGGCCGACACAAGCTTGTTTAGCTCTATGTTGTTGGGTCTTTTGGTTGATATTTTTGCTCGTCGTCGAGCTCCCTTGGATGTTGAGATCTGAAATTCGTCAGATTTATGCTCAATTACTATGTGTTGTATGTACATGCTTAAAAATTCTAGTGTTCAGGAATAAATACCTCTCATTGGATCTTTAATTTGTAATTTTAGATAATCAAGAATGGTATAAGGCTAGTTAATTTATTGTTTTTCTTCAATAATCAACAATCAACACTCAATTTCATGCTCATTCTGTATCTTGTGATTTTTAAGTACGTGTTGTTGCAATATAACCTTATTTATTGCCTAAAAGTTAATTATTATGTTCTAGTCAATAATCAAGAATTTTGATATTTATTTTGTTTTAGCCTTCAAGAGTGGAGGCAGTGTTTTTGTTTGTTGTAATGTGAGTTAATTATTCTACGTACAATCATTATTTACTATATTTGGTATGGTGACTTTCTCATTTGTGTGTCATTTATGTTGGTTGTCTTAATTGATGGTAGTTTTTAGTATTGATATTGTACATAGATGCTTGCTAGATATATTAATTATTTCAATTTTATGTTTTCATCGTAGATGGATGAGGATGGGGATTGTTCCGATGAACAAAGTGTTATTAATATGGTTCAAGATGTTGCCCTATCCATTTTTATTATAATAATTACAGTCATAAGGAGAATGCAAGCCAGACGTAAATCAATTCGTAGTGGTCCATGTGAGGAAAAAAAGACAAGAGAGGGCTAGAATTGAACACAGAGAGCGTATTTATAATAGTTTTAGCGATAGTTGCGTAAATTATATTAGAATACGTAGTGGTGCTTTTGTTAAACTAGCGAGTATAATGAGGAACAATAGCCTGCTAAAAGACTCGTCGAATATAACAGTGGAAGAACAACTTATCATGACACCTAAACATTTTGGGTCATAAATCTAAAAATCACATTGTCAGATCTTATTTTATAAGATCAGGGGAGACAGTTAGTAGATATTTCAACATTGTATTACAAGCAATTATTTGTCTGCATGCACGGTACCTGAGACAAGCCCTCAATGAAATTCCCCAAGAGAACAACCCGATGTACTACCCTTATTTCAAGGTATATCTACACTTTAATCATATTTACATGTATAATCAATAAAAATAAATTTTAATTTAGTTGTGTAATATCCGTATTATAGGATTACATTGGTATGATAGATGTGACTCATGTTAATGCAATGCTTTCGATTAATCTTGTTCCACGCTTTCGAGGCCGCAAAGGTGTTGCACAGAATGTACTTGCAGCTTGCACCCCAAACAAGTTGTTCACATATGTTTTAGCAGGTTGGGAGGGGTCTGCAAATGATTATAGGATGTCGTGTTAGTTCTAGATGATGTCGTGTTAGTTAGTTTTAACTTCTAGCTAGTGTTATTTCTAATATAAGTGTTAGTTGTAGTGGTCTATTAGTTCTGTTGAGCCCATGTTAGTTCTAGTGGCTCTCGTGTTAGTTCTAGTTGATGTCGTGCTAGTTCTAACTTGCAGCTAGTGTTATTTCTAATATAAGCGTTAGTTCTAATGGTATGTTGGTTCTAGTTGAGCCATTGTTAGTTCTAGTGGTTCTCGTGTTAGTTCTAGCTGATGTCGTGTTAGTTCTAACTTCCACCTAGTGTTATTTCTAATATAAACGTTAGTTCTAGTGGCCTGTTAGTTCTAGTTGAGCCCCTGTTAGTTCTAGTGGTTTTCGTGTTAGTTCTAGCTAATGTCGTGTTAGTTCTAACTTCCAGCTAGTGTTATTTCTAATATAAGCGTTAGTTTTAGTGGTATGTTAGTTCTAGTTGAGCCCATGTTAGTTCTAGTGGCTCTCGTGTTAGTTCTAACTTTCATCTAGTGTTATTTCTAACTTCTCGTGTTTGTCTACAATGGGGGTAATCTTATCATGATAACCATAAACACTTTTCCCTACCCACTTCAACACCAACCAAACACAAGAAAAGTGAAAAATGTCAAATCAACAAAAGTTTTTCCTTTTTTCCATGCAAACCATACACAAGAAAAGTAAATACATTGGTTTCCCACCATATTTTATATGCGAACCAAACCAAAACAATCAATTTCTAAGAAAAATTTGGAAAACTTAAAACTTGAGTTTCTTTACGGGCCTGTTTGTTTGGCTAAAGAAGAAGAAAATCAAAGAATAGGAAACATATTTAAAAAAAAAAATTATGGTTGTTTGGTTGGCTAAAAAAAGAAGGAAATCATATAATAAGAGATGAGATGAGATGAGTTGTCACCATATTATTGGATGATGTGAGTGATTTTTTAAGAAAACTTGTTTTGAGGTTGTTTGGTTAGTTAAAAAAAAAAGGAAATAGATTATAAGAAACCTATTTCTTATAATAGGTTCTTCTCTTGTGTTTGGTTCATTCTTAAAAATAAGAGATGAGATGAGATGAGTTGTCATTATATTATTGGATGATGTGACACACACTTAAGGAAATCAAATTCCTTGGATTTTTTAAGGAAATGAGAGAAAATAAAATGTTAATGAGATGAGATGAGTTGTCACCATATTATTGGATGATGTGAGTGATTTTTAAAGATGAGATGAGATGAGTTGGATGATGTGACCTATTTCTTGTGTTTGGTTTTTTAGGAGATGATATGAGATGAGTTGATGGATGAAAATTGGATAAAGTGGATGAGTTGTTAGATGAAAATAATATTTTATTTGATGTTGTGGTGAGTTTTAGGGATGGAAATGGAGGAAATTGATGCTTTTGAGATTTCCATGACCCAATTTCCTATTCTTGATTTTTAGGAAACCAACCAAACAACCCCTACATGGAATTGCATTTCCCTATATCTAGGAAACGAACCAAACAACCCCTTATAGTATAGACAGAATGGCTGTCCAACTCTGTTAAGTGTTTGAATTATTCTTCCAAACCTTTATATTTTGGAATTAGTTCCTCATACCTTCCCAGCTCGCTAGCTAGAGGGCCAATTTCAGAACACCTAAAACGATTTGGGAGAACAATTTCAAAATGTAAAGATCGAGGAACTAATGTGTAAAAAACCCAAAACGAAAACTCATTCTGGTGCAGCGCACCGGGGTTCAGCATATCACAACTACGAGCAACGGTGAGTCGGCGACCACGACAGCATTAGCATAACCCCAACTCTAACCGCATTGAACGCCGCGCCGGTGGCAGCTCCGTGAATAAGAACAAGAGTGCGGGCAATTAGAAAGAAAGGTTGTCCAGCTGTTAAGCTCTGCTATCCGAGGACAGCAGGGGACCAGGGAGCGACTAAAAACGAAGAAAAATACAGAAGGCTCAACTCACAGAGGAGGAGAGAGAAAGAAGAGAGAGAGAGAGAGAGAGAGAGAGAGAGAGAAAGGGAGAGGGGGATTTAGATCAGAAGCAGCATTTTCGTCGTCTTCGTCTCAGAGAGCCACGAGCGCCTCTCTCTGGCAATCTCAGAGCAATGCCTGCTCTTTCACTCAATTTCATGCTCTCTTTGTTTCCAGAGAGACACAATTAGAGAGAGAGAGAGAGGGAGCAGGAGATTTGAAAAAAATTGAGCAGATTTTGGTCATTTTTTCTCAATCTTTTGCAGGACACCGGTTGGATCTTCTCCTCTCTTGGTATGACTTCGATCTGTAGCTTTTTGAACTATGGTCTTTTCCTTTTTCCTAGCATATTTTTCGATGGTTTTTGTTAGTCTCGCTGTCTCAGTTTCAATTCTTCCAGAATGCTGAAAATTCCTCAACAAAAACGTGAGTTTTGACTCTTTTTTATTATTAAAAAAAAGAAAATCTGTGGAACTTACGTCTACTTTCTCCTGTTATTATCAAATTCCAGCTGAAATGTTGATCTAGCTCGAAAACCTAGGGTTTCTTTGAGAAATCGGTGGAAAAAATGGCTTCTTGGGATCAACTAGGCGAGCTCTCTAATGTTGCGCAGCTCACTGGCCTCGATGCTGTTAAACTTATCGGATTGATCGCTCGGGCAGCGAAAACTGCTCGAATGCACAAGAAAAACTGCAGGCAGTTTGCTCAGCACTTGAAATTGATTGGTAATTTATTAGAACAGCTCAAGATTTCTGAGCTTAAGAAGTATCCGGAGACCCGGGAGCCATTGGAGCAGCTTGAGGATGCGTTGAGGAGGTCTTACATACTTGTTGATAGCTGTCAGAATCGAAGTTATCTTTATTTGTTGGCTATGGGGTGGAATATTGTTTATCAGTTTAAGAAGGCTCAGAATGAGATCGATCGGTATTTGAAGATTGTTCCGTTGATTACCCTTGTCGATAATGCTCGCGTGAAGGTAACTATGGTATCATACATGAGAGTTTATGATTTCTGCTGAATTTAGTTATGTCGAATTTAGTTCCAGTTTTTGCAGCCTTGAAAGTTTACGTGCCAATTGATAAATTTGAAAATTTCCTTAATTTTGACACTTCGAAGCAATTCTTATATGAGATTGGTAGATAAATGAAAGGAACGTCTAACCTCAGAAATTTCGTCGTATGCCCAATTTTATTGTAATCTTAGTCAACAGATTGTGTTTTTTTATTTTAAACTTAATAGTTTGGTTTTACCAGTAATCTCTGATATGAAACCTATCTAAAGAGGTAGTTATATTCTTAATTTGATAGTGACATTCATCTCTAACCTTTTTTAATGATTAGATAGCGTAAATGGGTCAATCTTCATAAAGGAAATGACCTCAGCTTTGACTTTGCTAGAGCTGCTATATGATGGATTTTATTAGCAATTCTGATCTCTGCCAAGGTTGCTAAAGCCATTATTTTGTAGCTTGATTGAGAAAACCTGATGTAAACATGCTGAAATCATTTCTCATCTAATGGATCATTTGGCAAGACATAGTTTAGAATTCACTTTGAGCATGGACCCGTATACGATATACTCTGTCCTCAAATCATTGATACTAAAAGGTAGTACTTGTCATATTCTTATGACATGGTTCGCGTTCACATACTTAAAATTTTAGTATATATTTTCCTGGTGTTGACAATGATTGGTACAGTCAATCCATATTCACTGTCATGGATTTTCAAAGAGAATAAATTGGCCTTTCCTACTAGTGCCCATCAACCATGTCATATATATTTTCATTCACTCATGTATTTAATTTATTCTTTGACATCGCTATCCTATTATTTTGTTGTCAAAGAAAATATTCTTCGAACTGTCCATATGGATTATTCTCCTTGGTCATATAGAGCCATTTGCCATAAACCTATCTCTTATAAAATCTTAGAAAAGCAAACTTCAAGTGTAGTATACATAGCTACACCTATTTTTATCAACGATTCTGGGGGAAGAGAGTTTAAGTCTTTAAAATATAACAATATCATTAGTTAACTCTGTCCAAATCTGCTTCCTTTTTCTGACACCAATATGATTGAAGAGGGAATTGCTTGCACTTGCATCACAACATTGTCAAGATACAGTGAGCGGAAGAGTTGTTATTTTACTGATTTTTCCTTTAAGATTCCACTATTCTGTAAGTGTTGAAGACGGCATTTCTTGCATCATAACATCGTCAAGATAAAGTGAGCAGAAGAGTTGTTATTATACTGATATTTCCTTTAAGATCCCGCCATTCTGTTTAAGTGTCTAAAATTCATGAATCTACGGAGATCCTGCATCTATCTTTCTTCCAGTTCATTTGTACACTAATTTTCTTGATATTTTTACGTATTTTTAAATTTTTGTGTAATTATTCAATCGACTGGTTATATCAGGAAGTGGAATAGTCGTTGACGTTCCTCTCTTGGTACACTCCTGCAAAGGGATAGCTTTTTGTAGCTACCAGGGATAGCTTTTTGTAGCTACCAGGGATAGCTTTTTGTAGCTACCAGGGATAGCTTTTTGTAGCTTGGTAGCTTTCTTATCAAGAGTTCATGAATAAAAAATGTAATATGAACTGGTGTTTATACCACTATCTGGTAATTATTTTTCTTATTTCATTAATATCCTTCCTTTCATCAATCAGGAGAGACTGGAATACATTGAAAGGGATGAACGTGAATACACTCTGGATGAAGAGGACAGAAAGTTCCAGGATGCTATACTAGATCGTGATCCTTCTCGAAATCATACAGTGGTGCTTAAGAAGTCTCTGTCCTGTTCTTATCCAAACCTGCCGTTTGATGAAGCCCTGCAGAAAGAAAATGAAAAGCTTCAGATGGAACTTCAACGATCACAGACCATTGATCCTGGTCAATGTGAAGTAATTCAACATCTGATTGGGGTGACACAAACTGTTGCCAGTGCTCTCCCAGAGAAAAGTGGTCCACTAAAAAAACCAACCAAACTAGAATCAGTTTGTTCGGATGCCGATAATGGCAAAGGGCATTCTTTAGATGGGAAATATCTTGGTCAAAAAAGTGATACTAAGTCGTCGTTAAGGTTGGTTTCCTTTCCTTCCTTTTCCTTTATCTAGAATCTTTCACATGCATTTGCCATCTTATGGCAGCCATTCTGATCGATTTCTTATATGGAGCCTGATATTAATCTTATTTTCCTCAGGGAGTTTCCATCTTACTATTTATTGCATTCCATTAAATTATTTTCATGTTCTTCTATATTTATATCTAACTTGGAGACAGATCTGACTGGTAAATGGTATTTATTGTGTTCCTGTTCAGGATTGGTATGATCTTCTTAAAGAAGACTTGACTGATTTTGGTTTATGCCACCCTCACTGTTCTAGGGTTATTGTACTTAGTAGTATTTGGGAGCCATGTTTGTTGGTTCCCAATTAAAATTTTAGGTGCTAAGACGTCTCATCTGCATCTATTGTTCACATCTCTGCAAGAAGACTAGGGCACATAAGAAAATCCTTCACTCAAGGGTATCACTCAGTGCAGCTTATGATGTTTAGTTTTATTTAATGTTGTTGAAGCTTGTCTCGTTTAGTGCTCTGTTGCTTCATTTTGGAGTTCTAGAAGGTAATCAGCGTGTGTGATTACTTTGTCATTAATAAGGATAATACCAATATGCTGTAGATAGTTTCTACACATTGGAACTTTCTTGTTAACCACTAACCTCTCTTTTTCTTCCTCCATCTGTAATATTTTCGTTGTCCACATATTAAATTATGCCTTCAAAGTTATCATTTATGTCAGACATTAATTTTAGCTTATGTTGTTTTAAAACCATAGTTATTTTCTTGGTCATCATTGGAAACCTGTAGCCCTTTACTTAATGGAGAATGCTTACCATTTGTAGCTTATTAGTTTTCATGCTGAAGTGAGTTTCTGTATCTTCAATTATCTTTAAATGGTATTTCTCATGAACAAAAGAACAATATAACCAATAGTATCCTTTTATTCTGTTGACAAACAGAGATTTCTTATAGACATTATGCTATCATGCGCACACAGCCACACATACATATTACAGATATCCCATTTGTAATTTTGTATTATATCCAAGTCATGAAAATACTGTCTTTTCGTGCTAACATGGGTTACTTACATCAATTCATTTGTGATCTTCTTGCAGATATGCTTCCTCTGTTTCTTCAGGCCATGATTTGATATCAGACAGAGGATCACACAGGCATGATGAATGGCAGTTTGATCTACTGGATTGCTGTTCAGAACCAGGCTTATGTATGAACCTCGTAAACTTGAGTCCAGTTTTGTGAGGCATACACATCGATACAGTTTCATTCTTATAATTTGTTGGATCAGATATAATTACTTATTCTAGTGATTTTAAGACACATTTTTGTATAAATTGTATTATGTTCCTTGATTTTTCTACATAGGGTTTCTTTTTAGTATTGGACATTTTGTAATCCGTGTGTTAAGCTAAGGTTTTAATTCTTTTCTGTTAACCTTAGTCATGAAATGAGGACGGACAGCAAAACTTTTTAGATTTAAGATCTAGTACAGGTGGGCGTACAGTAGCAACTCGGCAGATTATCACATTGACCTATCCTTTCATGAAGCCCATTTCATATATTTCTGTTTTAGCTTTCCAGTGTAGCAATTTCAAATGAGATCACTTTACCTTACAGGTATGAAGACTTTATTTTACCCTTGCGGAACATTTTCAAAGATATCTTCGGTTGCCAAAAACAGACACATCTGTAAGTAAAAGTTTTTAATTGAACATGATCTGTTTTATTTTTCTGCACTTACTCATTTGATTAGTTACCCTATCTATTTATCCCAAAAGAATGGTGTTATAGATTATATTCTACATGTATATAATTAATATTAGGGGTAAATATTAGAAAACCCCCCTTAACTTTGGATAATTATCAGAAAACCCCCTTAACTTTCAAAATATTAGAAAAAAACCCCTTATGTGGTTTTCACAAAACCCACCCCTTTAGCTTTTAGATTTTATCAGAAATAACCTCATTTAGCTTTGAGATTTTATCAGAATTCAGAGGGTTTTTCTGATAAAAACTCAGTTAAAGGTCGTTTTCTGATAACCCCTATACTTAAGGGTTTTTTTTTTGATATTTTGAAAGTTGAGGGTTTTCTTGATAATCATCCATAGTTAGGGGGTTTTATGATGTTTAGCCATTATTTATGTAACATGTGCTCCTATTTCTTTTGATTATTCTGATTAAGTAAAAAACAACTGTTCTCTTCTAACGTATTATAACAACAAAGCCTTTATTCGAAATGTCTAGGGTCGGCTACATGAATCTTGTTCTTCCATTCCATTCTTTTATGAGTCATCTCTTTCGTTGAGTTAGTCATAATCATCCTTCCTAACTGATACTAATCAAGTCTTTTTGGGTCTACCTCTAGATCTCTTAGCCCCATTAACTATAATATTATCACTTTTCCTAATCGGTGCACGAAGAGGTCTCCATTATACATGATTAAACCGTCTTAATCTATTCTCTCATTTTGTCATCAATAGGAGTAACATATAATTTACGACGGATGCACTCATTTCTTATGTTATCTTTCAATGTATACTCACAAGACCATCACAACATTCTCATTTCTGCTACACTCATTTCTTGCACATGTTTTATAATTGCCCAATACTCAGACACATAAAGCATAGTTGGTCTTATAATCGTTTTATAGAATTTTTCCTTTAGTTTTATTGGTATTTTATGATCACATAAGACTCCTAAGGCACTCCTCCATTTCAATCATTCCGATTTGATTCGATGTACAACATCATCTTCTATCTTACCATCATGCCTAAGAACAAATTTTCAGAACAGCCCCAAACCAGTTTTTAATTTTTAAAACCGACCTATTTTTTTTATTACCAAAATCGACCCACTTTTTATCACGTCAGCTTAATCCCATTCCTAAACAGTCGGGGTTGGCAACCCCGACTGTTTAGGAGGTTGTTAAACCCCAATTAGAAGTCTTAAATCCGATTTTTTATGTCCTAAATAGTCGGGGTTGAAAAACCCGACTAATTAGAAAATGAGATTAAGCTGACTTGACAAAAAGTGAGTCGATTTTGGTTTAAAAAAAAAGTGGGTCGGTTTTGAAAATTAAAAACTGGTTTGAGGCTGTTTTGAAAATCTGTTCTCATGCCTAATGATTGATCCTAAATAGCTAAAATAATTACTTTTAAGTATTTCTTGACCATCAATATGTACTATAGCCTTTTTTTTCTTAGTTTTACTAAAATCGCACTCCATATATTTTATTTTTGTTCTACTAATTCTAAAACATTTAGATTCAAGAGCTTGACTCCATCTTTCTATTTTAGAAGTTATGCATCTTCTAGTTTCATTAACTAATACTATATCATTTGCAAATAGCATACACTATGGGATTTCATCCTGAATGTGTATAGTAAGTTGGTTCATAACTAATGTAAAAAGATAAGAGCTTAAGGCTGACTCTTGATGTAAACCTATGGTAATGGGAAACGACTTAGTCTCTCCTTCATCAGTTCGTACTCTAGTTGTTACTCTATCATACATATCTTTAATCACATTAATATATAAACTAGATACATGTTTCTTTTCTAAAACCCACCACATTACCTCTCTAGGCACTATCATAAGCTTTTTCTAGATCAATAAAAATCAGATTTAGACTCTTTCTCTTATCTCTATATCTCTCCATCAATCGTCTTAAAATATATATAGGTTCCATAGTTGACCTCCTGCGCATAAAACCAAATTGATTTTCAGATATACTTGTCTCTTTATTTAGTTTTTGCTCAATTACCCTCTCCCAAAGTTACGTAGTATGACTCATGAGTTTTATGGACAATAATTTGAGCAACTTTGTATATCTCCTTTATTCTTATATTGGTATCAAAGTACCAATCCTCCACTCATCACACATTCTCTTCGTCTCGATAATCGTATTAAATAATTTAGTTAAATCATCATAAGCCTATATCTCCAAGATATCTCCAAATTTTAATAGGGATACTGTCCTGTCCTACGGCTCTTTCACTTTTCATTTCCTTTAGAGCATCTTTAACTTTGCTACTTCTAATTTTTCGACAATATCTATAGTTCTTATTATTCACTATATGGTCAGATTTTCTATTTTGCTTACTTGTTTAGTTATCATTAAACAATTGATGAAAGTAACTCCACCTCTCTTTTATTTTCCCATTGGTCACTAGAATTCTTTGATTTTCACTTTTAATACACCTAATATTATCCAAATGCCTACTCTTCCTTTCTCTAATCTTAGCAAGGTTATATATATCTTTCTCTCCCTCCTTAGATTCTAACTTCTTATAGAAATTTTCATAAACATTGTATTTATTCTCACTAATCGCTCTTTTTGCTTCCTTCCTTGCTAAGTTATATTTCTCCAACTTTTCCCTACTCCAATTTTACCACTTTTTATATACAATTTTCTTCTCTCTAATAACCTTTTCATAATCTTATTTCACCACCAACTCTCCTTACTATCTAATCCACACCCTTTAGACTCTCCTAGTATATCTTTAGCCACCTTCCTATTACAAAAATCATGCTATTCCACATAATATTAGTCTCATTATTTATATATATATATATATTCTTTCATTATCTTATCCTTAAAATGAATTAAATTCTCTCTTTTTAAATTCCACAATTTAGTTTTTAGTCTCTTGGTCATGTTAGTTTTCAACTCCACTTTTTAATAGATATGTCTAATATCATCAACTTATGTTGTGTAGTTAAACTCTCTCCCGGTATAATTTTATAATCTTTGCATGTTAGCCTATCAGCCATTCTAGTAAGTAAAAAGTCTATATGACTAGTATTAAATCCACTTTTAAAGGTTATTAAGTGTTCATCCCTTTTTCTAAAAAGTGTATTTATTATATTAAATCATATAATGTTACAAACTCTAAAATCGATTCTCTCATATCGTTCTTATCTCCATACCTGAAATCTCCATATATTCTCTCATATCCATTATTATTCTTACCAATGTGCCCATTAAGATCCCTCCTATAAATAATTTCTCTCCTAATGGGATTTCTTGTACCAATTCATCTAAGCTATCCTAAAATTCCCTTTTAGTACTCTCAGGCAGGCCTACTTGTAGTGCATAAGCACTAATAATGTTAATAACCTCTACACCTAATACAACTTTTATTAGTACTATTCTATCTCCAACTCTTTTTACATCTACAACGCTTTCTTTTATTATGCTATCTACAAGAACACCTACTCTGTTACTATTCTTTTCTTTTCTCGTGTACCAAAATTTATATCCGGTCTTTTCAAATTCTCTAGATTTTTCACCTATCCATTTAGTTTCTTGTAAACAAATTATACTTATCGTTCTTCTAAACATGATATCTACTAGTTGCATCGTCTTTCTGGTAAGTAGACCTATATTCAAAGTAGCTGACTTAATTCTATTCTCCTATAAAAGTCTCCTACTATTTTTCCTTTTATGTTGTTCTAGTATACGCCTAATACTATTTGACAATCTATTAGAGGATTGTAGATTCTTAGAACACCATTGCTTACTTGTCATTACATCGGGATGACATCGATGTAACGTGTCGCTTCTGGGGGACACCCTAGCAAACCACCCTTGCTTACTTATCAATGCATCGGAGTGGCATCATTGCAACGCGTCATGGTGGGGACACCCCCAACGAGTATTTTATAGGATTCATTTTTCATGTAACCTATTCATATAGTAACTGATTTAAACTTTTGTTATGTTTTTTATGTTTTCTTTAATATATTACAATGGTTGCTGGTGTTTCTGTAATTTTGTCAAATAGAAATCTATTACTTCTCTCATGGAATATTGATGGTTAGATCTGAAGCAAGGAACTTTTGTAGGCGCACTAAAAGTATATTGAAATCACAATATAATAATTGATTCTACATAGTGCAAATAGATTTTATAAGATTCCTGTCATAGTGGACCCTCCCTCCCCCTTCTCTTTCTGTGTGCATGTGTGGGCGCTGGCGTGCATGCATGTGAGTGCATGTGTGTGTGTGCGCGCATGTTCAACTTCAAGATACCTGATTTGAATCTGTCTATATATAATAATTGACTAAACATTTCTCACCAGCATCAGGAGAAGCCTGCAATGACCTGATGGCTTATTCATTAATATTGTCTTGCTGCTGTTACACCTGCTGTGTCAGGAGGAAGCTCCGTCATATGTTAAACATCACGGTAATTATGGTTCTTTCCCTTTCTTTTAAAAGTGCATTGCAGATAGTAAGGTTTTACTGACTATTCGATTTTTTTTAATAATGGCTCAACTTTCAAAACTACCAGCTGTCATGTTTCTATTCCTATGGATCTGCTATGCATATGAACTATGTTGAGCCCATGCTGACATATCCAATATAATATTGATCTGCTATGCATACGAACTATGTTGAGCCAGTGCTAACATATCCAATAGATGATACATGTCAATATACTGATACTTGATGGTTATTTAGTAGATACTTCTTGGGTACTTCATTAACGTATCTAAAATATATAATGTACCCCAGATGTGCGAAGGATGTATTGAGACGCATATGACATTAAGAAGATAAACATCTAATGCATGAATAATGGGCATGCCTCTCATTAGTTCGTAAATTTTACTTATATAATTTCTCCTCTTTTTTGATGAAAAATTACGACTATATTGGTTACTAGTGATCTGGATAACCTAAATATATTTCTATATTGTCTGTGTTATGTGATTTTAATCACTTTGGCTTTACAAAGCTGTGTAGATGAAAAGCATTAATTCATCCACATGCATAACCCATACATATTTTTATGTTGTGTGTGTTTTGTTGTTTAAGCCGTTATTTTTACAAAGCTACGACCTGATAGAGAGAATTACTCTCTCTTTATCTCTCTCAGTATTTTCAGACTTTGTGATGTGAAACGAAACATGGGGTCTATCAGAATCAGCGATTTAATTTGAACAACGCATCGTCTCGCCAAAATACATGATATTCGGTAGGAAATTAATTCGAAACAATTAACGTGACAGATGAATTTTAACAAAAATTTGCAACGATAATCCTGAACAAATCTAATATCAAATAATTTATTCGCAATATCAATTATCACTTTCGCAAGTTCTAAGATCAATATCAATTTTTCAACAGTCACATATTCAGTTCTCTCAACTCACAAAAATAATCTAAGCAGTGAATATGATAAGAATTTAGAGATGTATTATTCACGCAATTAACTAATAACAATGAGATCAACAGAAAAAGTACTGAGTTGAAAGAAACGATACCATCGTCGGATTTGAAATATGAAGAACCACGGATCCGTTGCCACTGTATGTTGAGTCTGAACTGAAAAATTATAGCCAACTGAATCCGGTTTGGTTTGATGGAAACAAATCAGACCCAAAATTAATCAACTTGCAATTCTCTTGTCCTCAAGATAAATCAGACTGGAACTATCACAGAGGCTATAGAAGTTGTGAAACAAGCAAAGGATCTCAATGGGGAGCGGTTGCATCTCAAATATCCGGAGAAACAGAAGATGATGGCGCTGTTGTTGACGGGAAGACGGGTTGGAGGCGGAGTTGGGTGAAGTTGATGGAGGCGATTGTGGGTGGGGAACAAGGATCAGGCGCTGTTTGGGTGCAGAGGGGAGCAGGGGCTGTTTGTGGATGTGCTAGCGTTGGCGGGGCTAATCGACGGGTATGAGAGAAGGGGGGAGAGGAGATCGGCAGTAGGGGTTGAGGTGGTGGTTCACGAAGGTGGAGGGCAGAGACGTTGGTGGATCTGCGGTTGTTGAAGAGGTTGGAGGTAGGCGGCTGAGGTGTTAGGACTGTTTGACGGCGGAAGGGAAACAGGGGTGGTGGCTGTTAGGGAAGAAGAGGCTAAGTCTAGGGGTTGAAGAAGAAGAGGTATGGAGTTGCTGGGTTCAGGAGGGATGCAAGGAAAAAAGATGGGTTCGGTTGGTTGTTGATGTGAAGAGGGAAAAAAGATGGGTTCGGTTGGTTGTTGATGTGAAGAGGAGAAGAATTGCGGTTGGGGAAGAAGAGAGAAGAACGGGAACCACCTAGGGTTTCACACCCAAGGTTTAGGTTTCACACCCAAAACTCAATTAGCAATTTTTCATCCAATTATTCAATAATTCAAAAATCTGATTACAGAGCTCTTTTATAGAGCAATTACAATCCCTCAAATCACTCTAACCAATTCCCTAAAATCACTCAAATGCCAAAATTAAACCACAATTTCAAAATTCAAATCTACTCCTAAAACTGAAATAAATAAATAAAAAGTCAAATAACAACTAAAAAGGAAACTCTCATTATTGTCCTCATTATTCTCTCCGGGTGGGAGAAAACTCGACTCCGTCGAGTTAGCTGCAGAAGCTTGTAATCTTCAATATGGTCTGCCTGCATCTTAATCTGTCGTCAGTTATTTTTCTGCATCTCAAATCATTAGTTAAATCGCATTGTAAATTCACCATCTAAAATATTATCAAAATTCACTGCAGTTTGGTTGAATATATATAAGTGGGGGGTAAGGTGAAAGAACTCTCAGAAATAATGGGCTAGGGTCAAGCTTATATCAGTGGACTGCCAATAACATTGTGAACTGTTTAATCAATCAATATTGAAAATAGAACTATGACCAAATCGATAATATAAATATTGCCATTAATTAGTCAAGAGTTGGAAAAGTTCATAAATATCATGTCAAATCTTAAACAACAATAAAGAACTATATTGGACAAGTCCAAACCATCTAAAATATCAACAGTTTTAAATTAGGTTCTGACTCCATATCATTCATTTCAGTTAACAATGTATTTATTCAAGTTAGATCACTGATTCCCCAATATATGATCAATGCAAATCAAAACAAAATGATGCAATCAACTCGAATGACTATGTATGAAATGAACAAAATGATGCAATCAACTCGAATGACTATGTATGAAATGCAGACTTGAAAAATACGGTCAATGGCAGGTGTAACTCAACGAGGTATCTAACATGCATGACGTCCTCTATCAAATGGAATAATTAGGTGTTCCTTTGTTAAAATGCATAAAAATTTTCTTGTCCTAACAATGATAGTGAGGAACATGCAAGCCAATGTATGGCTGAGTGTTTTTGCGCGCTTAGTATGTGAGAAAAAAGAAATGAAAACACTCGTGCTCAAACTTGTATCCCTAATCACTATATTTTCCCAAAATGGATCAGTGTATGTGTGAGTGACTATCGGGACAATGCATGGGGGTTTGACATCTAATATGGTAGTTATTTCACTAGGCTCAGTTTGATATTCAACTTCCATACAGATATCATCAGGAACGTGTTGGGTATCATGTTTGTCCGGGAGGACTTTGTAGGGAACATCAACAACGTTTTCAATCACGAGAGGGAGTTCAGGAGGTGTTGGCGTTTCAATTTCAGAAACAATTTTAAGGATAACATCAGTGAACTTCGTGATTAGAGGGGTAGCTTGGGGAATAATCAGAGGAGTTGTTTCAGAAGGAACAGAAGTGCATGGTTTATCAATTTTAGTATGCTGGAATTCCTTATCAGAGTTAGATTCTATTAAGCATACGGGTTGGTTAACGGTTTCCTCACAAATAAATTTTGGTTCAGTTATAGGCATGAGGCATTTCTTTCTTATCTCATCAGTCAATTCTTGCAAAGTTAAAGTTGGTAACTCACCTCTAACGTACCTTGATATTTCGAACTCACCACCAAAGATTGGTGGATCATGCACAGGTTGAGGTGTGGGTCGATGAACGATGTGCCCATGACCTTGGCCTTGAGGAGGCGGGGTTGCAACATGCGCTCTTTCGAGCTTAGTAAGCCTTTTATTGGTAGCTCTACTCTCTTGGACTAAGTTACCTACTTGTCCGTTTAACTCAGCGATTTGCTTAAGTAGTTCGGAGAATTCGGGATTTGCACTGCCTGACATGCTGGACTCACTAATTGATCCACTTGACTCTCCTAATCGATAGGGTAGACCCGTGCGAGTGGGCATGCACTAACAACTAGATATAAATGGGTGCACAATAATTAAATGAGATGACCATTTTTTTTAATAAAGACTCAACTAAAAAGAAATTTCCTACCCTAGAACCATGCTCTGATACCAAAATGATGTGAAACGAAACATGGGGTCTATCAGAATCAGCGATTTAATTTGAACAACGCATCGTCTCGCCAAAATACATGATATTCGGTAGGAAATTAATTCGAAACAATTAACGTGACAGATGAATTTTAACAAAAATTTGCAACGATAATCCTGAACAAATCTAATATCAAATAATTTATTCGCAATATCAATTATCACTTTCGCAAGTTCTAAGATCAATATCAATTTTTCAACAGTCACATATTCAGTTCTCTCAACTCACAAAAATAATCTAAGCAGTGAATATGATAAGAATTTAGAGATGTATTATTCACGCAATTAACTAATAACAATAAGATCAACAGAAAAAGTACTGAGTTGAAAGAAACGATACCATCGTCGGATTTGAAATATGAAGAACCACGGATCTGTTGCCACTGTATGTTGAGTCTAAACTGAAAATTATAGCCAACTGAATCCGGTTTGGTTTGATGGAAACAAATCAGACCCAAAATTAATCAACTTGCAATTCTCTTGTCCTCAAGATAAATCAGACTGGAACTGTCACAGAGGCTATAGAAGTTGTGAAACAAGCAAAGGATCTCAATGGGGAGCGGTTGCATCTCACATATCCGGAGAAACAAAAGATGATGGCGCTGTTGTTGACGGGAAGACGGGTTGGAGGCGGAGTTGGGTGAAGTTGATGGAGGCGGTTGTGGGTGGGGAACAAGGATCAGGCGCTGTTTGGGTGTAGAGGGGAGCAGGGGCTGTTTGTGGATGTGCTAGCGTTGGCGGGGCTAATCGACGGGTATGAGAGAAGGGGGGAGAGGAGATCGGCAGTAGGGGTTGAGGTGGTGGTTCACGAAGGTGGAGGGCAGAGACGTTGGTGGATCTGCAGTTGTTGAAGAGGTTGGAGGTAGGCGGCTGAGGTGTTGGGACTGTTTGACGGCAGGAGGGAAACAGGGGTGGTGGCTGTTAGGGAAGAAGAGGCTAAGTCTAGGGGTTGAAGAAGAAGAGGTTTGGAGTTGCTGGGTTCAGGAGGGATGCAAGGAAAAAAGATGGGTTCGGTTGGTTGTTGATGTGAAGAGGAGAAGAATTGCGGTTGGGGAAGAAGAGAGAGAAGAACGGGAACAACCTAGGGTTTCACACCCAAGGTTTAGGTTTCACACCCAAAACTCAATTAGCAATTTTTCATCCAATTATTCAATAATTCAAAAATCTGATTACAGAGCTCTTTTATAGAGCAATTACAATCCCTCAAATCACTCTAACCAATTCCCTAAAATCACTCAAATGCCAAAATTAAACCACAATTTCGAAATTCAAATCTACTCCTAAAACTGAAATAAATAAATAAAAAGTCAAATAACAACTAAAAAGGAAACTCTCATTATTGTCCTCATTACTTTGCTATACCCCCAGATCAAATCAAATCCAAATAAGTGCTACATAGTATGTGTTGTACTCTATTTTGAGTGAGAAAAGGAAATTGGCTTAGTTTGATGTAGCTGCATGATTTTAGGAGGAAACATTGTCTTATTGTTTTTTGTTAATTTCCACTGATTGGTGCTTAAAATCTTTTCATGGTATCTGGTTGAACTGCTTAAGTCACATCTAACATCCTGTCTATATTTAACTTATGCTGTTGTCTTTGCCCCCTATTATGTGAAAAATGAATTTTTCTCTGGAGATGACATTCCTTCTATCGCTGGACCTTTGGATGAAGAAACGAAATTGTTTGTCTTCATGTTGAATACAATTTTAGAGAATTATAGATATATAAGAAACCATACTGTTATAATTTGTGCTGTAATTTTGTTTTGCCACTGTTACACTCCATTTATGCTCAGTTTTGTAATTTTGTGTATATTGTTGATTTACTTGATTCTTATATATCCACTTTAGTACACACCTTGGGCATATTGGACCACAATCTTGTTTACTAATCTAGAGTCTTTTTTAAATCACACAACATTAGTTACGTCTACTATGGTGTATGTTAAATTGTTAATAAATGTTTGGTAGATATAAGTGAATGGCATGTTTGAAGTAGTAGGTCTTATGTGTTTCTGTTTCATAAAAAAAATTTCAATTGAAAAAAAATGCATTTAACTCCCCTCTGAAAATGAACCAACATATGAACCAACCACGACTCACATTTGAAAGTTATGTCAAAGCAGCATCCTCTCTAACATCTCTATCTTGCTAACTTTTCTGCCTTTTAACCCGATAGGGAGGGTTTTGTGATGATTTCTTGTCACACATGATGTGTTGTTGCTGTGCCCTTGTTCAAGAATGGCGAGAAGTGGAGTTTCGTGGAGTTCGTGGTATGTATGATGCAGAACATAGTTTTTCTGGCATTTTTACAGTGAAACACTGTCTGTTGTTTTTGTATGTATACATTTTCAAATCTTTGTCATTTTTAAGTGAATCTCTTGCAACATTTATATTCTAATGGGTAACTATAAAGGTTAGGTTCCCTTGTAGTTGCTTCTGTTTTCATAACCTCATATAGTTGCTTTATGTTCTTAACCCCCATAGATGCTATCTTCCCTAACTCTTGTCTACACATGGCTGATGGTGGTTAAAATATCTATGGAATAAACACAGTCCTTCTTTTCTCACTACATTCCCTATAATCTGTTCTCTTTCCATCCATTCATCTTTGCTGCAGGTGAGACCTTTTATGCATACTTCCTTTAAGCTAATCTGACCTCTTCTAGCATCATTTTTTTCCTCCTGTTTGTATCCTAGCCCTATTCTCTTGTCTCACATCTCCTCTCCTCATACATGGATCTCTATGTTGCTTCCTTTAGTTACAGATCATAATATATTTGTATTATTTAAAGTGTAAAGCTACAAAGAGGTAAAAGGTTGATACCGTAAAGTAGTAGTAATAACTACCCATGAAAATCCTGCCGTGCTGAACTCTTTGCTTCCGTCGAAGCTTTCAGGAAAAAACTTATGCTCCTTGTCACATGGAAATTACACTTAAATTTCATGTATGAAGTCTCAAACGGGGTTTCACGTAGACTAAGATGCATGGCTACGGGTACAAGTACCAACATGGGTGCGGGTATGGGTGCGGGACAGGGAATATTTGTAAAAGGTATGGAATGGGAACATGGCTAAAACACATGGTCTGGAATCATATTCTGAACTAGATATGCAAACAACCCTTTGCAGTTGTAGTTTTGAACTGAATATGGGTTGACATGAATCCGGTCTTTGTCCTACAAGTTTTAGAAAGTGGGTGTGAACTAGGGTGTACATCAAATATGTGCTTGATGAGTGTTTTAAATTAAGACATTATTGTATAATTGAGTACACATTTAAATAAATGTATGCATATATCCTAGAGGTGCCCACTATGGGTACAAGTATGAGACATGTTGGGTATGGCTTCATGACAGAAGTACCCACTCAACATCGACGTACGAATTGTATCTCAGAAAACATTGAAGTCCTTGCAATGTCCAAATGCATAATCAATCAGAACCACATTAAAAGAGTTTGGAGGCAGAAACCATAAATTAGTAATAATAACTATCCATGAAAATCCTGCTACTTCCATTGATCTTTTCTGGGAAAACTTGCCCTCCTTTCGTTACATGGACGTTACATTTGTATTTCATGCATGAAAAGTCACAAACAATGTGTTCCTGTGTGAAATGTTTCTTAGGAAACATTAAAGTCCCTACAATGTCTGAAAGTATAATCAATTAAAAAGGACTCTAAAGACTTTTAACTGCTTATTTGCTTACTAAAGAAGGTATCTAATAGCTAAAATGCCAATTGCTTCCTGAATCAAACAATGGGAGTTCAACATCCATACAATTTCACAACCTAAAGCTCTAAAAGTTAAAATATTGGGGCGCTGAAGAATCCATCTCTTGATTATCAATAACTTTTCTCTAACTAAAACCTATATATTGTTTTGCATATTCTAAGGGGCTGTTTGGTTCGATTTCTATTAAAAAAGAAAAGGAAAAGTGTCAAGAAATTAATTTTCTTGTATTTCTATAAAAAATTATAGGAGAAGTTTATAGAACTCAGAAAGTACTACTTTTCTTATTTGTTGCTATTTTTTTATTTGGTTCAAAACATGAAAATGAATTCCTAATTTTATAGAAAATAGGTTATTTTATTTTTCTTTTGTTTGGTTGCATAAGAAAATTTTATGGAAAAGTGAAACTCTTACAAGAATGTAGGCAATTTCAAATTTCTAGGCAATTTCAAGTTTTATAGAAAAGTGGTACATGCGTACTTTATTACTATTCAGATTACCTTCCAATTTCCGCTCATTTGGGGAGAAAGTTCATTTCTATAAAATAATACACTTTCCTATTTTATAGAAAACGTTTCTATAAACTTTTTTTTGGAACCAAACATAGTTTATAGAAATCTGCATAAATCTATTATTCACGATAATGTCATTGTCAGATGTTTTCTCAAAATTTTTTCTATAAAATGGGTGAACCAAACAGCCCCTAAACCTAAAAGGGCTCGTGGTCAGTGTTTTAAAAATCGACTGATTTTATTGATATATAGCCGATACATAGGGTTTGGACAACTGCCGATACGTTTTCTAGAAAATTAAGTAGGTTATCATTTTTCACTAATTTTCTCCGATATATCAGTGAAAATATGATTAACTTGTTAGACCCTAGAGGGGGGGTGATTAGGGTCTTATGCTAATCTAATCCGATTAAATGCCAATTAAAACTAATTAATAAGTTATCCTAGCAAGTATAAAATACAACAAGATACGTAAGCTAGGATAAGCAATATGAACAAATAAATATATCCTATCAATGAGATATTACAAATATATGAGCAATGATATATGAACTAACACAAGGGTAAAATAAACAATCTACACAAGTGATAGGGTAATATGATGAGCAATACACAAAGGCGATATAAGATATGATAACAAGAATAAGAACGCCAATGCAATCACAAACAAACGATATGTTTACGAGGTTCGGTCCCCACGACCTACGTCCCCGCTCCTCACCTCGAGGAGATCTCCACTATCACAACCGGGTTTTCTACGTTCACCCGAACAACGTTTACACCTCACAATACAATCACTATGTAATCACACCTCACACACTAAGTGTTGGTCCTAGCCCGTGTCCTCCTCCTCAAGTGCTCGGTTACAACCTCTCCCTAGGCACGTCAACCGACGCCACTCCTCTTGGATTCGACCCCGTCTCTCACCACACACTTCTCTCGGTGTACAAGTGTATTACAAGTGAATCCTCACAATAAGCACATTATAAATCAAATGATTTGTTCTCTAAACAAGGTGAGAACTCAATTAAGCACAACTCTAAGTCACTAATCTCACAACCCAAAATTATACTATGAATGTAAATACAATAAGCTCAATAGGTTGTGTGTGAACAAAGAGATAATAAAATCAACTAAACTCAATATGAACACTAGCTTAATAAAAAGATAATCAAACAATATAAAATATGAAGCTAGATTGAGTTTAGAAAACTTCTCAATAGATCAAGAGTGGAAGGAGAAGAGTTGGATGCTCAAACACCAATAGATGATCTCCTCAAGCTCTTGTGGAAGTGATTCACAAAACCAAAACACTCAAATGCTTAAAAGCTTATAAACACACTTAAACCAAACATAAACCCTTGATTAAAACTCTCTTAAACTTGTTTTTAAACTCTCTTGGCTCACTTGAAAAGACATCAGCAATGGGGTATATATACCCACTCAAAGCTCAGCCAAAACCCCCAAGCCAAATGACAAAACAGCCCCAGCAAACAACTCAGGAAAAATAGCCGTTAGAAGACAACGGCTAGATTGTCGGTCGACCGGAAATTCTGTCGGTCGACCGATTTGAGCTCTCGGTCGACCGGACCGGTCGACCGATGACTCTCTGGAAAAATACTGACGAATGGTCAATTGACCGGTCGACCGTACCGGTCGACCGAAAACTGACATTCCAGAAAAAAATCGGTTTTAGAGCTGATTTTAAAACACTGTTTAAAAATATCAAATAAATTCCAAAAAATGTAAAACTTTGGGGAATGATTGTAGACATGATAATAAACATGCTACAACGACTGGTTTCGAAAAAGGACTTCCCAAATGAAAAATATCATCATTTTACAAAATAGTCCAAAACATGAAAACCTGAAAATTGATATTTTGATATTTTGACTTAAACAACATTTTGAAACCTTATGAAATGATTGTATAGACTTGATAAAAGATATAACATGTTGTTATGAAGTCTATAACCTAGAAATACAATATTTTCATAAAATTGCATATTCTATGCAAATATATTCAAAACACTAAATATGATTTCATTAAATATAAGCTTGTTAAAGGGGAAATCATATATAGGCATATAAACATGAAACAAAATAGTATTTTCCAATTCTATTCATTTGTTTCATAGTAAAACTTGAAAACTATCAAACCAAAACATATATGTATATATATAACTATATATATACAAAAACCAAAACGTGTATGTGTGTATATGATTGAGCTTAAAGTACTAACACACATAATATAAATTCCTAAACTAAATTACCCAAGCAATGATCTTGATCTTCAATAAGCTTGACTTGGTAATCTCGCGGATGAAGCTTGAACTTGGATCTTGAACTTTGAATAGCAAGGCTTCACCGACATTCCGCCAACCTCCTTTGGATATGATCGTTGAAGCTCTATTCCATCCATCCTCCAACAACGTTGTTTGTCTACAAAACATAGGAATGCACAAACACTAGACAAACAACATTAGTAATAAATTGTTTGTTAAACATCATCAAAACAAGAAGGCCAACAATCTCCCCCTTTTTGATGATGACAAACAATTTACAAAAAGGAATATATGCATGAAGGAAATGAACATATACAAGATAATAACTCACATGCATATAAACAAACAAGATAGATATACTCACAATATTTCTCCCCCTTTGACAACATCAAAAAGGGGACAAAAGAATTAAGAGAGCGAAAGCTCCCCCTATCAATAAGCATAGGTGAGTATCAAACAAGTATATGGATTGCTCCCCCTATCAAAAAGCCATATAGAATATATGCAATGAAGATCATGGCAAACATATGTGAGTAAGCATAAAAGATATGCTAACAATCACTTACATTCAAGAGATAATGAGAACACATATAAATGTATCATTTAAAACAAATGTCTCATATCAAAGAACATAAACATTATGTATAAAATAGATTTATGAAAGAATACATGAGAATCATGTAAAAAGTTTTCAAAAGAAAACAAATCACTCAAATGAAATCATAAATCAAATTTTAAGTC